CTTCTTCTTCTTCTTCTTCTTCTTCTTCTTCTTCTTCTTCTTCTTCTTCTTCTTCTTCTTCTTCTTCCTCTTCTTCCTCTTCTTCCTCTTCTTCCTCTTCTTCCTCTTCTTCTTCTTCTTCTCCTCCTTCTTCTTCTCCAGCATCTGAAACAATCTATGTTCTAGGAAGCCTTAGTAACAGTTACCCAGCAGGTTACTTTTATTTTTCTGCTTCAAACCTCAAAATTCTTGTGGAAACTCACACTAATTCCTTCTCTTAGAACGTGTAGTCTAAAATATAAGATTTTATAATCTTATTTTAATTCTCCACACAGTGTTTGTGACTATTTGATGTTTATTTTCTGCCTCCACAGCTCCTTGTTTTTCACCACAGTATTTCCAGAGGGCAAAGTAGGTCCCTCAAATATATTTGTTGAATGAAATGGTGCAGGGTGGAAAATGCATTTAACAAAGGAAAGAGTGGATGCCATTTGGAGCAGTACATGCTTTAGGAGATAAATGACTAATTGAAATGGTGGTGGAGGCAAAGAGAAATTGGCTTATCTGCAACAGATTTAGGAGGTAAGATTGAAGGACTTGATGGATTGGTTATGATCGCAGAAGACTAAGGGGTAACATGGATTTCTGGCTTGTGTAACTGGATGGCTAATATAGTTATTCACTGAGATAAGGAAGCTAGAAAAGGAACAGGTTTTCAGTGAAAACATAAGAGTTTAGTTGCCTTGGAGACATCCAAGAGGAAAGTTGAGTAGGCATCATCAATGCCTGAGTATAGGGCAGGAAAAAAAGCTGCATACACTACATACTTCACATGGATACATTTTCCAGTATAGATCTAATCTATAGTTTAGACATCTGCAATTTATGGTCTATTTCCACTAATACCCCTGTATAGTTATGGTATCATGCAAGGGGTTCTTCCGTATTGAAGAAGGAAATATTACTTACAAAATGGTTAAAAAGGTCATCGTTTACTTTTGGTGTGTTTTTTACTTTTCCATCCACTATCATTGATCCATGTTACTACACTAGAAGTATCTTCACATATTTAAAGATGAAAATGGAAGAAATGACTGACTTGAAGGTAAAGGTAGAGATGTGTTCCAAACTTTATCTCTAATTCTTGTCCTTTATATCGGCTTCAGATTGCTCCTTAGATCCTTTATCTCAGTGTCTGTCCTGAGTTTTCATATTTTCCACCTTTACTCAACGTAAGTTTACCTTCTTTTTTTCATTGACCTCCTCAGGTTTTTCTGGTCCTAATTAGGGGTCAGGAAAGTTGCCTATGAGTACCATATAGTTTCATCTTTGATAGAACTACAAAAGAGAAAGGAATCCTCTATTTCTAGCCAAAAAGAGAGGAGACCCTTGCTACCTCATAGCTAATCAGAGTGCTTGGGAGGCAATGCGCTTCCTCTCATGGAGTGTGGGAGTGCTTCATTAACAATCATAATGGACAGAAGCACATCTAAAGAAAATCCTCTTTTTGCAGACAAAGTGCTTTATAATGGAAACCCATCTTCATTTATGAAGCAATATCATGCAGTGACAGACTATCACTCAAAAGCCCCCACCCCACCACTAGAGGGAGAAAAAATCCTGTCCATGTAAATGTATTTGATTTATTTTGCAAGTAGAAACTTTCCAGGTTGGTGTATCTTATATCTAACCATGGCCCTTTCAAAATCCCACAAGAGTTAATAGGAACGTGCTACCCATCTCTCCGGTCTCTCGCTGTCTCTCTGTCTCTCTCTCTCTATCTGTCTCTGTTTTTCTCTCCCCCTCATCTCTCTCTTTCTCTCTCGGTCATTTCCAGAAGTTTCTGTTAGTTTCTTTATGGTTGATCTGGTATCTAGGAGGGCACTGTTTCTCAAATGTTTTTCCTACCTTTTTTCTTAGCCAGGGAGGTTCTCCCACTGAATCTACTTCCATGGGACCATTTCTTGCCTCCTTCCTGCATGCCAAATCTAGTATTTGTCAGAACTCTCACTGACAGACAGCTCTCTAGCTGAGAGAGCTATTTTGGTTCCACCGACAAGGTGGCTGTCATTTAGAAGACAGAGATTTTCATTTTCAAGGAGCTCAGGAGGTAGCAGGACAAAGTTTCTAATAAAAAAAAAAAAAACCGTTTTCTCAAGGAAGGTTTCTCAGCTCTTATTTTATCTATATAATTGACATAGTGCAAATAGATATAGAACAAGGTTTTGGAAAGATATGTAAGCCAAAGCAGATTTTGAGGTGTTACTTATAAACAGCAGTAGTTAGAAAGTATATCTCAAATAACGCACTTGGTTTTGCTTAGTATTCTTCAGAGAATCTTTGATTATGAGACATGGAATGGATGGACTCCCGTCTGTATTTGACTCAAAATCCCCACATATCTATATAAACACATTGATTTCTGAACACAAATCATTTTCCCCTAAATCTAACGTGTTTAATTGTAATCATTTCCTTTCTTATTCTTCTACTATTTTGCAATGAATTTCTGCTTTTTAAAGCCAAGTAAATAATGGAAACATTGGAATTTCAACTAAAATTAAAAGATCATTTCTGCTGCCATGGCAATGTATCTAAAAATCCATTTGTATATGTTTGGAATCTTAAAATTGCATGAACTGGCTTATTCTTTGATTAACTTTTTTTGGAAACAAGGTCCAACTAAGTTGTCCAGGCTGGTTTTAAAAACATCCTCCTGCCTCAGTCTCCCAAGTAGCTGGGTTTACAGATGTGTGCCACTACACCTGGCAAGATTAACTAATTTTGTCCTATGAAAACAAAGAAAATGCTTTATAGAGATTTAGCAAAAGTATTTTTAAAATGTTCTTTGTGGTCTAACAGAGCTGGTTGTGGATTTTTATCTTAGTATTTCCCAACACCATGGTGAATTTGATATCCCTGTTGACTGTTAGTTTCTATCTGGTCTGTGGTTATAGGAACCAGGCTACTGTTGAAATGTTATGCCATATGAATAGAGAAGGAACATATCTAGATCGGTATAAATTCTTTATAAAAACTAAACCATAGCAAAAATAACAGCAACAGACTTACTTAAGATGATGGACATATGACAAAAATTGACAGAATAATTTTCATGTAGGAAGTACACTGGCACCAGAGAAGGTCCTCTACTTGAATAAGCATTCTGAAAATACAAAATTCTTTCTTAGAAAAGCCCACAATTTAAGATCCAGTTAAGTGTTAGTAGAGGAGAAAGAAAGACTGGAATACATGCCTGCTAAGGAATTGGGAGAACAGGATTCATTCCCTTTTATTTTTCCATTAATGTCTTGATTCTGGTAAAATGCTGAGGTGGAGGGAACAATCACTTTCTCTAGAAGATTGCTTTGAAGCAAAGAAATATGTAACTCTCCTTTCCCAATGCAAGGAAACAGAATGCCTTGTCCAGTGCCTTGATGAAGATGAGGAGTCCGTCTCAGGACAATGAGGCTAGCATGTTGCTGCTACTAGCCTGACCCACAAACCACAATATCTCTAGAGTTTTCCTCCTTCTGTCTGCTCTCAGGGGATGGTTTACCATTTTCCCAGGGGTTTTCTGTCCTAGAAATCTGACAAATCTGTAGGGGCAAACAGGGGTTATGTGCAAGGAAAAGTTGCATTTGCATGTATCTCTTTCACCCGCCAGTTATTTAGATGACACTCCTGACTTGCAAAGAATGGATGGTAGAATATGTTAAACTCAGTGCTCTTCTTGTTCTTGTTGTTGTTTTGAGACAGGGTCTCACTATGTAGTTCAGGTTGGCCTTAGCTAAGCCTGGCCTTGAACTCCCAGTGATCCTCCTGCCTCAGCCTCCTGAGTACTGCATCAGACTCTTGAATACTGCCACCATGCACAGCAAGCTCAGTGTTCTGATAAGCTATGTTTTGATGTGATCAGATTCTTCTATTAAACTAAAAAGCTCTCTCTTTTGTGTTTTGGAACTAAGTATTTGGCCTTTAAAGTTGGAGAATTTATACACATACATACACACTTTTAAGTAGTATCTTAATTTAGGATTGTGCACAAATAATAACCGGGAGCTTTTAGGTTTTAAAATAGATGACGTTTTGTATGTTAGATGGTCCTCCTGATTTGAAGCTTGAAGATATTGAAGTTGGCATTAAAGGACTACCCTGCTGGAACTCATGGACTTCAATG